CATCCCTCAGTCTTTCTTTTTCCTAATTTGTTACTTTTCGTCCATACTGAGTGCTCCTGAAAATACATGTCTGAAAGCAAACCCTTAAAAATTTCAGTCACTACAAATCCCAGAAACTGACTCACCTTCTTAAACAAAAGTATTACAAGTATGTTTGAAACAGAAATTTGAGGAGTTTAATAAAATCTAAAAGTAACAGGTGTTTTACCTTGTACAAGGTGGCTTCCTCTGCCCTCCCCCCAGCTCTAGACCTTTCCTGACTGTGTAACAAATGCAAATCCTGAATGGAATAAATCTTTAATCTTCTTCAAAAACCCTAAACATGCTATGCCCTAATTTTAATTGTGTATGTTCCCTGTTTCCTTTTCAGTCCTCTTCCTAAATTAAAGCTGGACATTGGGCTATCAGATCAGACAGATATCAGGAAAAGGTTTTCCACCCAGAGGGTGGCTGGACACTGGAATAGGTTCCCCAGGGAAGCCCCAAGGCTGACAGAGATCAAGAAGCTTTTGGACAATGTTCTCAGGCACATGGTGTGACCCTTGGGGATGGTGCTGTGCAGGGCCAGGAGTTGGACTCAGTAATCCTATTGAGTCCTTTCCAACTCAGCACATTCCTTGATTCTGTAACCTCCTCCCTCCAATACCGAATCTATGCACTTCCAAGAAGTTGGTACTTCCTTTTTTTGCTTTTAAAGAAATTTTTGTGACATCATTATTTTAATGAGAATCTTCCTGATGAATACAGATTATATTTCTGTTACAGATTATTTTTCTATCATCACTGGTTTTTGAATGCAATATACACCTAACAAAGAATTCCAGTCTCCTGACTCCCTAGAATGTCTCAAGGTGCTAAGATTCGAAATGCAAAGGTGATAAATAAATTCTTCTAATTGCAGTAAGATCAGAATTTGGGATTTGTTAATCAAAACTTGTTAATCATCCTCACCATAATGCAATGTAAAAATGCACTTATTTAATGCTAGGATTATACATCTTGATCAAGACTTGTTCTGGGGTGACAATGGGGTGCCTGTGAGAGGGCACAGACAGGCTGCCTAGGTGTAATGAGGCTGAGGGAGGAACAACAATGTCCCTATTCATATACCCAGACCCTGCAGCATCTGAGCCATCTGCTGCTAAAACTGCAGATCTGGACTGAAGAATGCCAGATTATTTCCCTCTTCTGTTATTCAGACAGCACTTCTCTCCTGACATACACTAGCTCTATGCTCATTTGTCCTGTTAGGAATCCCAGAGCAACTTTTTACTGTCAGAAGGCGCTTAGCAAGCTCAGAATAACATGCACTGGTGGAATTATAGCCCTTAAAAGAATATGCCTAACTGGATGAAACTGCAAAAGGAATTCCTTTGTTAACACAAAAGGGATCTAAATCTAGAGTTTTAGTTATAAAGAATATTTAGTTAGTAGAAGAGAATAGCGGCACAATACCTGTAGCACAGAGCAAGGGAAATGATGCTCAGTATATTGCTCCTGTGAGTGGTTTCAATGACTTTAGTCAATTACTGGTGTGAGAAAATTTTGCAGTTTGGCTCACAGTTACAATGAAAACTAATTTGGTTTAGAAGTGATCAGCAACACTTCTGAAACCTCCTGAATGGTCTGAGCTTGAGCCCCAAGGAGCACAAAGCATCATGGCCAACTTCTCAAAATGTCACAAAGTTGCTTAACAACTATGTGGACATTACTATTGCAGAACATTACAAAACCTGTGCTAGATGAAGAAGGGCTCCTTGTGCAAAGATCAGACTTTTACCAACTATTAAAGCTGATGGAATAAACAACGTAAAAATGTTTGGTTTTTTCCCCTAGAAAACAACAGCCTCCTTAGTAGTAACTGATAGCCTGTTACAGTCACTCACTGACTAAACAGGTTTGATTCCTCTGAATATTTTTACTCTCTGCTTAAGGCAGCAATTCTTCTGCATTCTGTGGAGAAGAGAGGGAGCTGGACTTTGCATTGTTTCACAGAGTTGATTTTGCTGTCTTTAATAATGAAAAGCCAAAATGTTTCCACAAGGTGGGACTGAACTGTGGACAGCCCATTTGTCCCTACCCATAGCAAGGGGTTTGAAATAGACGAACTGAAGGTTCCTTCCACCAGTCTATGATTCTACATGCTATGATACTAGAACTATGTTAACCAGAGTATGTGAAACACAATTTTTTCTACATTACTTATACGTCTTTATGTTTACCTGTACAGTCTGTACTGTTAAATTTTCAGAATTTTTGCTGGAGGTTGCCACAAAATAGAAAAGTTAGTCTGATAAAAAAAATTAGGTAAGTAGTCCTCCAGAATTTTGTCTTTCATTTTTAAGTAGAGGCAGGTATACCTGAAATAAGCACAAAGTAGTTCCACTAAAATCAGCCCAGGCATTCCAGTTATTAAGGCTACACTACAGCTACACACAATGATCTCTCTCAATGATCACGAACTGCAGGAAAAAGTTCTCCTTGTCTGGTGTACTTTTGATGGCACAAACATGGGAAAATAAATTCTGCTGCTTGTGGTTCAAAACACCCTTTTTTATGCAAAAAAAAACCAAAACAACAAAAAAAACCAAGAAACCCCAAACAAACGAAGTTATGTCCGGCATGAAGTGAAAAGAGGGTGTTGCCAGGGAGGGGCACAGGAGAACCTATCTCTGCAGGGGCATTTCACACAAGCCTTATCATTGGCACACATTAGAATACACCCCATTCCCGCTCTTTTATGTGGCCTGGAGTCCCCAGATCAGACAGCACAGATGTCCTACTCTGTCACATGTCCATACTGTGCTTGGGCACACACAGGAGGGAACAGAAAGCCATGGTCAATTATCTGAATACTATTAAAACATGATTCCAAAGTGGTGTCTGACGGCAAAACTGGCAGGAAACTCCCTGCTAATGGATTGATGTCTTTCCATCAAAAGTGCTATCAACAAAAAAGCATCCAGTTTGTCTCCAGCACCATTGCTTCCAGCCATCCAGGCAGGCTCACTGGCAGGAAGGTTTGTGAGACTGAAAGGTATTGCATGTGTTTGTGTGTGTGCCTGTTGGATGCTTTGCTTTTTGGCAAGGACTGCTGAAGAACAGAGCAGTCCTACAGAGTTTTGACAATTCACTGCAAGGTGCCTGCACATTCTTGTTTGAGGTGGTGTGAAATGGCCTGGCAGAAGTGGCTGCATCTATTCTCTGTCCAGATAAAGACACATATTGTTAATAACACCCTGGGCCCTGCAGTCCTTTCTCACCCCATATCATATTTACCCTTTACAATATTCTATCTGGTTGCATTTGTAAGTTAAAATTTTATAGATAGGAAAACATCTGGCTGCTGCTGGGTTTGTATCTAGCATTTACAGAGGAGGAATGAAAAGGAATTGGATACAGATAAAATTTTAAAGGCCTGAAGGAAGTCTTTGCATAAGAAAGGTTTTAAGGGTTAAAGATGTCTTGGTTTTTACAACCCAGCTTTCAATTTTAACCATATTGAAAACTTTTTCTCCTGTTTCTTCTTCTGTTTATGAGACAGATTAATGCAACTTGTGGTGGAACCTTTCAACTTGTGTTCATCCTTATGGTAAACAAGAGTAAACCTTTTGCTTTGACCAAGATGGCTAATGTGTATAAATCCAGGGATGTACACAACTAATACAAGTGACTGTGTAAAATACTGTTCATGTTTCTTTAGCCAAACACATCCTTTTTGCTTCAAATTTGTGTTTCACACCATAAGTGCAGACACCAACTTTTAAAAATTTTGTAGAAACTGTAAAAATTGCCATTATTACCCCAGAAAGTACAGTAAGCTTTCCATTTTTAGCCTCCAGTTATTAAAAGCATATGTGCTTTCACATTTTTAAAGTGCTAAACTTTAAATCAATGCAGGATAAGTCATACTGTTATTTTGGAAGACAAAGCAGTTGTGCTAGAGGTTCTGTTATATGGATGGCAGGGGAAAGGGAAAGAGAACTGTCCACTGGTTTTGCTCATAGCAAAAAGATGAAGAAGACAATGAACTAGAATGAATTAGATTTTTTAAAGGGAGGGAGACGAGATCTTGAGCTATGGAACTCATGTCTTCAGCATGTTGTAGTGATCAAGTCTGCACTGCTGGGAAGGCAGTAAATTTGAAAAGGTTTGAATGCAAAGTGAGAAAGACCACCCACATCTGCCCCATGCTTATTTTTTTTGCCAAGGCACCTGCTCCTAGTGCTGCTGGCTGCAGTGTAGAGGGCTTTTCAACTTTTTGCAAGTGATCCACAAATGAAACAAGCTGCTGTACAAACACCATTATCTAGCTGTGGTAGTTGTTGGAAACTGAAAATTCAGGGCTTGAAGGGACCTGCAGAGACTATTCAATGCAACCTTCTTCATACTGTGCTGGTAATAAGGGTAATTTGGGTAATCTGTTTTTAAAAGTAATCCCCAGTTAGCAAGGTTCCAACACCACTTTGGGTAATTTGCTTTTCTCTTGTACTCAAAAAGACTCAGCTCTAAATTATATAAAATTAATTTCCTTCAAATTGAGGTAATTCCTGCTCACTTTCCTAGGGGAAAGAAACATGAATGAACTAACTAAAAACGTGCTTACCTTCCAAATTAGTGTGAGGGCCATCAAATCACAGGCAGGATGTGCTGCTGCTCTGACTTCCATATCCACAGCTTTTGCTCATCAGGGCTTTCCTGATTTCTACAGAGTTCTCCCTTTCCATTTATTTCCTGTCTCATTTCCAAATCAGAACCACAGAACATGTGTCTCTCAAGTTTTGCAATACCATCTCCCCTTTCCCAGAAAGCTGGGACTGCTCTCCCCCCCACTGCTCCATCATTTCCATGAGCTGCTCCCTGCTTGGCAGGGCTGTGGGCCAAAAAAAACAGATTTGTGAGCACCTGTGTCAGCCCAGCTGCTTCAGTGACTCAAGTAATTTCAAGCCCACAGGTAGTTCATGTGCTAAGCACTGAGCATCCACTCCTCTGGGACTGGCCACCCAAGGTAGAGCAAAACATTTGCAGCAATCACAAACGTCTTCAACAGTGCAATAACCAACGTGAACACCAAATAACAAATATTATTTCTAGCACACAAGTTCTGTAAGAGCTCAGAAATAAAATACAACCACTCTGAATGCATTTTCAAAAGCAACGTTATTCACAAGGAGGCTTACAAACATCAATTAAAAAGCACTGTAAACATAGTTTATATGAATTGTTCCTCACAAATATTTGTTATTCTTATTTCCTCTGCATTCAACTAATGCTCTTTGTTGCCAGGGCACTCTTGATCTAATATCTAAAAAAACATTTAAGCACTTACAAAATTTCTATTAAATGAAAGAAAAACAGGAGATGCACATTAAAAAAAAACATATAGGGAACAGATTTAGCCAAACTCTCCGACCCTAAATAATATGCTACACATAAAATACATACAATTACCTCATTCTTAAATCTTCAGTCAGGGGAAGAAACAGTGCAAGAGTGACTCTTGATTTTTATTAAATTTATTCTAAATTTAATACTCAGTTAAGCCCGGAAACCTGAATTTTATTGGATGATACTGTCATTCTTCCACTACTTCTTCCCCTGAGCAGCACAATGAGCAAGCAAAGGTTTGCAGTGGTCATCTTTGAACAATCCCTGACCATGAGTGGCTGGGTGTATCAACTGTGTAATTTAAAATAAACTGTAAATGATAACAATATTTAGACTAGCAAATGAAACAATTCCTAGGAAATTCCCAGGCACTAGAATAGCAATGTTTATGCTGGTAAACTAGTTGTGGCCCAAACCAGATTTTGGTAGCTAAAACCCTCCAGGAGCCATTTCCATTAGGAAATTCACAGGTATACAAGCACAAACAGTGGCCATTCCAGCTAATCTCAACAGCGGTGGTGCCCCGTGCAGGTTTAATTTATTAGAAAATAGTCTAAGAGTGTGGCATTTTCCCTAATGAGGGCATTTATAACTTCAAGAATGTAACTTTTTTTTTTTTTGTAGATACAGCTCTTTTGAGAGTGCTGTTTAACTATCTATAACCAAGAGGGCTTTTCTGTCCTGCCAGAGGGTGGTGCAGCACTCTCCTGCTGTCACTGCCCTGCTCTCTGAAAAGGCCACTCCTGCTGGCTCTCAGGCCCCGGCACGTTCCGTAAGGACACTCCAGCCTCACCGTAGGGGATGGGATTGAGTTCAATGGAACCTTCCTGGGAAAGAAACACAAAGGTGTTATCATCACTGCAGCGTGCACCTGAGATACACGACAGGAACACCAATAATGTCTGTATAATATTAGTTCTCATGGTTTTCCTTATTATAAATGGTTTCAGTAATAGAATATTTTTGCATGTGTTTCTATAGTCTTACTGCATTTATTCTTATTATAAGTTAACTAGTATTCTAATCAATATTAACTCATCACAGATAACACTATCTCTGAAAAGTTATAACATAAATGATGATAAGTAATTATAGGATCTAAAATAATTCAGATAGATAAAACTCATTTGAACACTTCAATTATCATTGCTGATGCAGGACATTCTATGAAAAAGACCTGCAAACCAGAAACCATTCCTACAAAAATGTAAGCAGGTCCTGCCCAGGAAGGGAGGTTAGCTGAGGTAAATTAAATTTTGATTATAAGCTGCCTAATTTTAAGAATGCCATCCAGTGGTGACAAAAAAACCCTCCCAGTGGAAAAGCAACTACAGTGCAAACGAACACCAGAAATCTGAGTGACAAGTGGAAAGCTGAAATTTCATGTTCTATAATATATACATATTTTACACACAGTAAAAAATACCCAAAGAAAATATTTGACTTACCTGTGATTTTTTCCATGCATACCAAAAAATAGCAACGATAAGAATACAAAGCAATGCAAGGGCAATGCTGACTCCTGCCACTAGAAGAGCAAAAAGAAAGGTAACCATGACTCTAAACCATTAAGACAAGGAAAAAATTAATACCTACATTTGTGGTGGGTAATTATGCAGCATAAAATAGTTATATGTGACACTAAAATATAGGTCTTGATTTTTCCTACAAACAAAAATCTCATTCAAGTCTGGGTTTGTACAGAAATAAGCCAATCATGTCACAGATCATTACAGTACTTTTTATTTTTGGCAGTGCAAATATGTGCTATAATTAATCTCAAATTTTTTTTTTTTTGTGAGTAACAGTTACTGCTGATCACAAAATTGATATTTATGTCACAGATTTTATTAAAAGAAAAAGGCCCAAAGTAATAGTGATAAGAAAGAAAATTACTATGGTTTAGTCTAGCCGAGTGATACTCTACTCAAATCACCAGAGAAATACCATGACTTGCAATTAAGAGTATCTTAAATACTATTATATGAAAACACAGCTTTTCAGGCTAATGACAAGTCCATACATAGTTTTTGTATTCTATAACCAATTGCAGTAAAAGAAGTTAAAAATTCAAAACTTAGGGAAAGAAAAAATTATTTCAGCAAAAGTACAATACGTTGAAGTTGTCAACTTACCCACTCGTGTCGGCAGACCTCTTGCTGCCAGAAGGGAAATAATAAAAATTAGAAACTTGAGAAAACTGCACGGCCACATGTAACATGTAAAGCTGCCTTTCCTACCTCAGTATAAGAAGCAGAGAGACTACAGGAGGAGGAAATAGGGAGGGCAAGTGAAATCCCTGGCACTTCAGCTACTAACACCACCCCAGCAGCTGCTGTGGAGACCATCACCACCATCACCACCACCACCATCACCACCATCATCACCACCATCACCACCACCATCACCATCATCACCACCTTCACCACCACCACCATCACCATCACCACCATCACCATCACCATCACCACCAGCAGCACCCAAAGCCCCACAAAAGCAGGATTTGAGAAAGCATTCGTGTTGTGAGCCTGCACTGAGGAAGTTTCCCGCAGCCCATAGCCGTGGTGTTAGGAGCAGAGGTGGGCTTGAGGGAGCAGTCACTCCAGAAAAGCCCGGGGATTTGGGACACGCCCAGAGGCAGGTGCTGCACAGAGAGGTGTCACAGAAACAGTCGAGACATTTCACAGGTCTGGGGGACCTTTTCTGCTGCTGTCTTCCTCGTTAGGGTCCTTTTCTTGGCACCGAATACGAAGCTAGCCACTAATCATGGAAAATGGCTGACAATTTATATTAAATGATACATTTCCTGCCCCTTGACAGATAATTATTCAGGCTTTGTTATTTGAGATGTCTGAAATATTCTTTGTGCTTCAGCTTCCACCTCTGTAGAAAAAGGTGGAAACCTGTTTAAATCAATCACATTGATTATTATTATTATAATCAATTAAATAATCACATTGATTATTATTGGTTATATTACTGCTAAATTGGTTTGTGTTTGCAATTCTTCTAAGGACAGTCATTGGATGGAAAACAGCAGTGGAAAAATGGAACAATGTGTTCACAAGACTCAGATGTGCACACCTGAGGGAAAAACCGACTCAGGATTTGAAGGAAGCAACAACTTGAAAAACAGACCTGGAACAGGATCATGCCCCTGTATTTCCATTTCAGGACTTGCTGAAGTACTGTCGATAGATGTACCAAGTACCTTACTAGGTAAATTGTCTGTTATTGGTAGTGGTGTCTCTTCAGTCTGAGCATTGCAAAGATACCCTAAAATTAAAAGCATTTCAATAAATTATTGCTGGAGTAGGCCATACCATGTGTTATTAAGGTTGTTTCATAATTTCAGTTATAAGATTCAAATGCTCACAACTTGGACAATCTTGCCTGCTGTTTTACAATTTGGAGTATTTCCCTCCATCCTTTCTTTTTTGTGTGTGTGAACGTTTCTGTTGAAATTGTTAAGATATTTCTCAGAAAAAGTTTGGAAAAACTCCCCTCACTGCCATTTACTCAGCTTAAAAAAAAAAAATCATAGATATTATTTTCAGCTATTATTTCCTTGCTCTGGAATAAGAAAATTAAATCCATAAGGGAACAGTAGCAGAGCCTTTACTAGATTTGGGCACTCTGTGAAAATTAGTAAATCCATTTTCATTTGCTTTGATGAGGTTAATAGGATAAGGCAGCTCAGTTCACCTGGGATGTTTATTGATATATTCATCCTCATTGTCACTTTTCCTCTTTCCCTATATACTTCTCAAATGGGAAGCAACCACATTGATGGAGATGATGACACTCATTTGCTTGCTTTAATTAACAAATATAATTAACACCCCTTCTTTCACATTACTTCTCTTCTTCAATTGCAAATTAATGAAGAAGAATTCGGGAGGGGTGAAAGATACTTTTCCTGAACTTTTTGTAATGACAGGAAGAGAGGAAAACTACCCTTTTTAAGTTATTGGAGCATTAAGGAGATGCTTTGCACAGCCACAGTTTTGACATAAGAAACAAACCAAAACAAAACCTCTTCTATTGAAGCAGAAGTTCCAGGAGATTCCACATGGGCTCTGCAACAACATAGGGGAACAAAGCTCTGCCCTGCGAGATTCTTGGACACACAAGCTAAAATAAAATCAGCATCATCAAACGTCTTATTTAATTCTGATCTCCCCTGAGATTTGCTATCTACAAAGTTCTTCCTAGACTTACAGCATCCCCTCGAGACATAACATCCATCCACATTTCTCTGGAAGAGAGCAAACGTGTGCACCCAACAGTATTTATGGGCAGACTCTGCCTCTCTCTGAGAACGTGCAGCACTTGTTAGCAATGCATTAAAGTTACTCCAGGCTTAGGAGGGAAACTTGCCCTGTCACTTTGAAGCTTGCCTAGGACTCTGCCAAGCAGAGCACAGCACAGCTCAGCAGGCAGGGTGATATGTATTTCCATGGACTCCTTAGAAGAGGGACAGCAGAAACTCTCAGCCAGGCTTGTTGGGGAACACGTGTGCCTTCATGATAAGAAGGGCCATTAGCCAGCCCCTCCACCTCTTTGCACCTTCTTAAATTCTCCCTCTATTGCTGCCTTTAGAAGGGCAAAGAAGAAAGTGCTTCATGTCTTCGCACCAGACTAAGCCTATTCTTTTTCTTTTTCACAAGGAAACAGCGTTCTGCTGGAAATGGATGAAACTGATACAATTAGTTACAAATTCTAATGGACAAACATAAACGCCTTCCATTACAATCGAATATTATACTCAAATTCTGTAAGGTCTCTCTAATACAACATTCAGTCACGAATTCTGAGTATCAAACATAAACGTTTTCACTAGACAGAACTGAGGCAAGGGGTCCTGACAGTCCTAATCGTGCAAATGGTGCAGTTGTGAAGTTCATGAAACTTGCAGAGAGAGATCCCAGACATTCTCACTTCCACTCAGTAAATTTGCAAAGTCTTTGTGGGGCAGGCGGGAAAGCCTGATGCTATATTGTTAAAAGGCCTGAAATAATTAAAATTTTTGCTTTCCTTGCAGCATCACTGAGATACTGCCACTGTAGCTGTACCCAGCAGTGCAGACAAATAAAAAGAGATCAGCTGTAGGTGTTGTCATTTCTCTAGTTTTATTGTTTACTGTTAGAATATTGATCATAACTGATACTAACATTTATTTTTGTCATTCATTAATGAGTCTAAGATGACTAATGTACCTTTTATACTGGCACATGTGTCTTTTTGTACCTGCAGAGGATTTCTTTAAAATACAACCTAAATTGAATTCTTGAAGTTTTATTATTAGGAGTGTCACAGATATTTGTTTGGCAAAAATAACTGTGTGCTTTTTAAGCATTAGTTTACTGATTAAGCTTAATTTACTGATAGAGATGTGACTAAAATAATCATTCATGTGGTACAATATAATAATGCACAGACAAAACACTTTCAATGATTGTACTTATAGATCAAGCCATATGAATTAACATTTAGAATATACTTAGGAATATTTTCAAAAACTAATTGAAAGTATTAAAGAGGAAGTACTAGATGAGGAAAACATATTAAAAAATATTCACTCACCTGTAAACAACAGAATGAACACAGGTATTGTCTTAAACATCTTCATTTTTTCTTTTTGTGTCTGAAACAGGGCAAAAGCTCCAGGGAAAAGTCCCCGGGTCAGTGTCCCTACAGCAAAGAAGTGCCACCAAAAGGCACCGACCTCAAAAGCCTGCCCCTGCTGCACTTATCATTCTGCTGTGCTGCTTATTGGCTGAATCAGACTGGCTCCTGAAACACCTGCTGCAGGGGCTGGGATGCCACATGGGCTCTGTGACTCCAGCAGCTCTGGATCTGCTGAAAAGAATTGTCACACTTCACCAAGTGTGCAGCGAGCACAGAAATTATGAGACCAAGAGGTGAATGGCAAGTCCTGTTCATATGTGAGACAGGCTCTGGACTGCTCATTTCCTGAAACACCCCAGTTTGGATGAGGATGTTCTTGTATGTCACACCTGCAGAGAGACTGTGTAGATCTCAAAGCTCTTGGTAAGTACAGAAAATGCATCCAGATGGAAAAGCCTGGCCACATGGAAGTGAAATGCCTGTTGGTCACAAAAGCCAGGCATTTTCTTTGGCACTGATCACAGATCATGATATATTCACAAATATTTAGTGCACCATTAAAATAAATATTCAAAAACAGTGCCAGCTTGTAAAGTGTAATGACTATTCCCATACCTAGATATTTAGGACCATTTAAATAAACAGTATTATGGCTTTCTAGCTGCTTCCCAAGTCCATCTCAAAATTGATAGTGCCCCAGATGGGTTGACAGAGGTATGAACTTCATCAGAGGGTATACCACAGAATATGCTGAGTTGACTACAGATAATTGGAATTTAAAAGAAATAAATTAGTCAAGAAAAAGAAATTTGCTTGGCAAACTATCATCCTACTGTCAAAAATGTCACCCTCTTTCTCTGCTGAGACAATTTTTTTTTGAGGTATGCAGCAGTACAACAGG